AAAGTAGAACTGGGGCTAATGACCAGTGATTTAGTCACATCTCCGAATCGAGTCCTGGTCTGAGTCAATTTGTCCACATTAACTCAAAATAAAGTTAGTGTAGTGGCAAGAGGAATTTAGTCAATACATTTTTGCTATCCCTTTTCCTTTCTTTCTGTGCCACCAAATGTTTGCATATAGGCTACTGGTAATGTTACCAGGGCCACGTTCAGTTGTAAAACATTCTCGAACGTTGCAGATAGAAATTCCATGAGTAGAGCCGAAGTTATTCCTTATTCAACATGTCAGAGAGGCATGTTTGTTCTATATAGCTTATATCTGAACGTTACAAAACATTGCGTCCTGCTGAACACGCCACAGGTTGTTAGCTATAGCTAGCTAATGAGGTAACATGGCTGAACAAGGTGTAGCCTAGACATGGTTAACGGTCCGGTCCGCAAGTAGCCTAGTTTTAAAATGGCCCGGGATAAATGTAAAATGCGGCACGCCAATTCACGATAGACAGAAAAAACGTTGCGCTGGTATTATGGGTCATATCTTTTGAACAGTAAGGAATCAAGCCCTTTTCTCTGAGAAAAAGAACCTAGCTATGAAATGCAGTGGGGAAAGTGGGAGGGTTGAGCAAGACTACAAATTCAAAGACAGCCTACTTTTCTATACTCAAGAGAGAGAAAAACATAGCTAGACTTAACTCAATGCTACTATTGTTTTTAATTTCGTAAAGCAGCTTGTGTTTCTTAACCAGGCAAAGTGTAGCTTACTAGAAGGCTGGTGGTGACTGGTTAGCTAAGGGGAAGCAAGAGTCGCTTGGCGATGTGTATAATCCGAGCCGGAGCGGAGCCTGTCTGCCCACATTCATCGCATACTCCCCCACAGCTCACCAGCTGATGTAGGCTGTGTGTGCCGGGTGTGGCAAGTCCTTCCCACTGCTGAACAGAACTGTGCATCTATGCTGCTATTAATTGTGCTTATCTCTCTAAAAACTCTTGTCCAGTCCACTTAGTAGTCAGATTTTAGTCACTGAGAATTTAATCTCGTTTTAGTCAACTGAAATGAAAAATAATTTTAGTTTAGTGATAGTTTTTTCTAGGTCTATTTAGTCCGTTATAGTCTCGTCAATTGCCACTGAAAAATAGGTGTTTGATGGATATTTTAGTCACTATTTTTGTTGACGAAATTAACACTGGTTCAAAAGCACCAAAGCCCTTGCAGAGCTCACACAATGATTGACCAGAACAGCCTTACGCAACAACCGTGCCACTGAGAGGCTCAGGGTTGACCTCTTCGGCACCTCAAGGGGGTCTCCTTTCCTGTGGTCTTTTGGCATTTCTCCCTCACACTGTTTGTCCTGGACAGCTTGTTCACCCCAAAGGACTGGAGCAGTAAAAACAGTACGAAGGTATTCCATAGAAATTAAATGACATTTGTATGGGTAGGCTATTTCCTCCTAGCACACAGGTTTGATTTTCTATCACCTGTCTAGTGTGTTTCAAGATACCATTGAGAAATTAGGGTTATGGTGATTATCTTTATATAAGATTGAGACCCACCCCGATTGACAAATGCACCACTGCATAGTACCAAGGCTGACCTTATGAGTATGTGGGCTGTGTTTAATCTGTGTGTAATGCTCTACTTACAGTATGTTTAGTAAATGGGACTGAATAGAAAGATTAGGCTGACTCAACTTTCACCCCATGGTGTAGCCCAGGGTTCCCCAATAGGCGGCCCGAATTCTGAATTTTTTATTTGGCCCCCAAGTTTTCTAAAGAAAAAAATAAACAAATATTTATATTTTAAATGTTTTATATATTAAAATTTTCGTTGTTGGACATTAAAAGGGTAGGTAACGTAATCGTAACCACAGGTAACATATGGATTTGCATTAGTATACGCATCAAAAGTCCCAGTACAAAGTTACACCTCACTTTTCTATTTTTGGAGTTACATAAAACTGATCATGTCGGAAAATATTTTTCCAGGGTGTGATGTAATATGGAGGACACGGCAAGCCAGCCTATTCCTAAAGAATGTTCGCTATTTGCAGTTATCTTAGCCAGCCAGCTAACTTGAGCTTTTTAGCCAACTAGCTATTAGCTTAGCCAGCCTAGCCAACCACCACAGTTGTGGTCGGCAAGCCAGGGCCCAACAACTGGAGACCAGATAGAACACAACTAAAACAGAACCGCAGATCAAAAGCAAAGAGAGAGCAGAGACTTACAGATTGTTGGCTGGGGCCCATCCGATGCTAAAAGGCTGAGTTAGCTACCAAAGCCAGGGGGAGGCGGGCGCTTCACCGGGCTGAGGGAGAGTCGGTGAGGGACATCCAATAGCTATATAGCGAGAGAACCCCCAAATAGATAGATTCCAGATGTCAGTCAGCTAGCGCACTAGCACTAAGCCAAGGTGGAAAAAGTTACAAAACAACCATAGCCTACTTCAAAGAGAACATGCTGAAAAGTTGACAAAACAAAATAGACAACAGACGAGGTACTACACAATTAGCGCAAGAAGGCACCAGAGCCTGCCATGCTAACGAGTTCCCACTAGATAACACAGCCACAAAGTATGTGACGAACTTGCGCTAGCTAACGAGTTAGCATATGAACGCGGTAGCACAGAGTAGATTCTCCATATGACGTTGAGAAATGGTGCATATTGTGCAAACTCTAGCTTCCAACCCTTTAAAGACTGTAAAATCACCAGGAAATCAGCTCAGTGATTTTAATTTAGGAAATCTGTTCCCAATGTAAGCATCTGTTTGGGCTTCTTGCAGTCAATTTGCAGTGCACAAATTATTTATGATGTTCCGACCCTCCGCTCAATAAAAAAAATTGTCCCACAGCTTAATCTAATTGGGGACCCCTGATCTAGCCTATAACCATTTACTGTAGTAAAAAAAAGGCTGGAGATGCATTATGCTTCCTATGCTATCTGCATTTTACCACTCAGCTAAATAGCTCCAACAAGACAGGAGAAAGGTCTGACTAAAAAATAAAAGGTGACCTCATTACAGTTATGCAACACTAATCTCATTACAACAGGCAGCGCACCTTTTCCTACCTGTGACCTCCTTTTCCTGCCTTGTTTAAATAGTTTTGCTGAGTCGTTACAGTCAGAGGTTGAAAGGTGAAGGCTAACTGAGGAGGAGATCAGAAGGGTTTAGTTATTTTAGGTTCTGTCATGTCTGTAAAATCAGGTAATGGTGAGAGAAGCCCTTGTACCTCTCAGCTAACAGTACACTGATATATTAATGTCTAGTGTGTGGCTGAGGGGGTTTCATCTAAATTCACCCACTAATGGTAAATCCTCAGAGGAATACATTATTTTATTGGTTTGATTCCACCAGTGCGTTAAACTTATCTAATGACGAGGGGGGTAGAAAGTATAAACCAAAAGAGCTTCATTTGGTTTCTCCCTTGGAGAGCTGCCTATTTTAATGAGATTAGTGGTGCATAACTGTTACGACTCAAGAGAAAGGTTTCCTTATTAAAGCTAGAATCCTTAGTTGCTACATCCATTTTGGACTTTGATTCTTGAAGAATATAACTTATAAATGCCTTATGAGCTTAGTTCTACTGTCCTGCCCCATCAGAACCCAAAATATAAGCTTGTTATACTCCAATGTTTGTAAACAAAGTAAATGTAAACAAACACTGTCTCGCCTCAACATGGTTAAAACTATAATTTTGATATCATGGATGGTCAGTTCTTGCATACATAGCTCTCACTTTGAATGTGAGTGCTTACATTTCTCCAGGTCCATCCCTCAGCTGTTTACCAAAACACAGGCGGGGTGGACTTTGTTATTGTTTCAATTAAAGAGTCCAGCTTTAAGAATGCACACAATTATTTTTTTATTCTCTCGTATTTATTGTGTGTTTTCTTACCTACATTATTCGTTTTATTACTGCGTTGTTGGGAAAGAGCTTGCAAATAAGCATTTCACTGTACTGTTTTTTACACCTGCTGTGTCCTGTGCACGAGACAAACTTTGAAACAAGCACACACACACAGACACACACACACAGACTCAGGCGCGCACACACACACTCAAACACTCTGAAAATGAGGGGGCCAGGCTATTTTGGTGTTCCCCCTCACATCTCCCTCCCATCCATGGACAGGAGTACAAGGGGCATTTGGGGTCAGACACCTGCTTTCATTTTAGTCTACCTGGCTGCCTAATCTCTGCCATGCTCCCATCCTTCATTTGATAATTGCCTAGAGCAGTCATGTGATTCTTATTCAACGCTGATGTCACCAACATTCCTATGGAGAGATTCTGCTCTCCAGTTGAAATGTAGGCCCGTAGATGGGCCTGGCCTGCTGTGCTGTCACTGCAGTATTTTTATGGAGAACAACTGATTTTAGGTCTACAGTATAAATGAGTAGGCCTACATACCGATTATTGAAAGGGTTTCCTCCGTCTCCTTTCTTATAGCTTTTGTCCTCTAGGGAGATGGTAAGTAAAGTAAGTATAGCCAACTGACTACACAGATACAATAATGTTCTTTCTCAGTTGAGTCAGAAACATAATGTCCACTCCACTGGTGTTCCCAGCTATTTTTAACCTTGTGTTTGGGAAACACCAACACTCGGATGCCACATACCGTATGTACATTCTACATAGTGTACATGCAGTAGTTCACTATTCATGTGCTAAATGGGGCCCTGAAGCATTCCAGTGTGTTTTGTGCTCTATCAGCAGCAGACTGGGTCAGCTTATTGAATCACATCCCACTCAGTTGAGTCTCTCCTCTATCACACAGATTAACTAAGGACAAGCCACACTTCTCTCATTTAATTTGATCATTTGTGATGTGTGTGCCATATCTCTCTGTGCGTGGTTGTATGCCATGTGTGTGACCCTCACGGGACAGTTATAATAAGCCATTGTGGCAGCCAGATGAGCAGTGTGTGGATGAGGAGAGGAGAGTGGGACTGCCACTGGTCTATTCAGGAATGCTCGCAGAATCCCCGTCTCTCGAAAACTCTCTCACACACACACACACACAGAGCAGTCCAGTCTCTTACACTCTCTCACACACACAGAGCAGTCCAGTCACATCCGCTTGCTCCGGAACATTCTTTCACGTCATTACATCAGTTTCAGAAGAGTCCAATCTCTCCCTGGAGAAAGAGGAGAGCGAAACAGAGAGAAGGAGGGAGAGAGTGAAACACGAGAGAGTGCTCTATTTAACACCATGGAGACAGCCTGGACACTGGGTAGAGCGTGAGTCGAAAAGCAAGATTTTAAAAGGAGGGCACGTGTGATTCTTCTCCATCGACTCTACGTGAGTAACTGTGTGTGTGTGAGAGAGATTCTGTTTATCACTCAACTCAACCAGATAAACTGAGTGTTCGACTGAGATAATTGTCTGGACCATATTTAAGAGAGCTCTAAGAAATAGTCGTATGAAGATGTGAAGATATCATGTGTTCACATCTGAAAGGTGTCTGTAGGTTAAAAAAATATGTTTCAGATGAGGCGAATAAGTAATAACTCCAGAATGGAAACTGCAGCCCCACTAGAGGTCAGCAGATAGTAGCAAATAAATACTGAGCTCTTCCTCCGTCCTTTTCTCTCTCTCTGGAGAGTTTATAGTGTGTAAACATGATCCTGCACTAGAACACTGTGTCCTGGGGATTGAGTAACTCGCCAACGCTTGCCCCCTGCACTCCAAACCAGTGTGTGTGCGACTGTGTTACTGTCCACCTTCCACTCCTGTGTGTTTTTCAAGTGTCTGGATACATCTGTCTGTCAGCTCCAGCTGACATGTGACTAGTCATGGTGATGGCCTCATATCCTTCCTTCCTTTCTTCCTTAGTTTCTCTCCCTTCCCTCGTCCTCTAGTCAGTCTCAGACATACTTACTGTGTCTAAGCATTCACACTGTCACCAGCTGGAATGTCACACTGTGAAACAAAAACAGAGGGATGGACAGAGACAGAGACTGAGAGGGGTAGAGAGACAGACTGAGAGGGGTAGAGAGACAGAGACTGAGAGGGGTAGAGAGACAGAGACTGAGAGGGGTAGAGAGACAGAGACTGAGAGGGGTAGAGAGACAGAGACTGAGAGGGGTAGAGAGACAGAGACTGAGAGGGGGAGAGAGACAGAGACTGAGAGGGGGAGAGAGACAGAGACTGAGAGGGGGAGAGAGACAGAGACTGAGAGGGGGAGAGAGACTGAGACTGAGAGGGGGAGAGAGACTGAGACTGAGAGGGGGAGAGAGACTGAGACTGAGAGGGGGAGAGAGACTGAGACTGAGAGGGGGAGAGAGACTGAGACTGAGAGGGGGAGAGAGACTGAGTACGACAGAAACTGAAAGCAGCAGAGAACTGAAGTGGAAGGAGTTAGATTGTCCGAAAATCGACTGAGGGGAAAAAATCTGAAGAAACTGAAGTATAAGGAGGAGAAAGACAGTGAAGGAGTCATCAAAATAGCAAGAGGAATAGGAGCTAGAGTAGAGTGCTGTTGTTCTCAGACAGACAGAGAGAGACAAAAATGGTGAGGATTTCACTAAACCACAGTGATGTAGTCTAAGGATGGAGATGATGGGTTTGACCACAGTTCTATCAAGCGTATTTATTTATTTATATGTCTCTCTTTAGATCCACTCTATCTATTCTTTTTCTAGCTACTCTCGCTCACAAAATGGCTTCCAAGGAATTTAGAGGATGAGTCAGAGCCTAACTCACGAGGGAGTAGCTGTCTGTCTGTCGTCCTATGAATGTGCTAGCCTTTTTAATCTGTGGGTATTGTGTTGGTAAACTAAAATAATGTATAGCTGTTGACTCATCAACCTAAGAGCATATTACATGCTACATATACAAGTGGTTACAGATTATCTATTTAGTCTGATTCAGACATGGTCTTTCATGTGAGAGCCTGAGAGACATCTGCCCCACAGACAGTCTCTGCTGACTGCTGGGTAACTTGACAGGAGTTTTGCACTCTTGTTTCATAATGTCTCATGAGCTGTGTGTGGTGTGTGTGTGTGTGTGTGTGTGTGTGTATGTAGGCTTGATTATGCGCACACACTGTATGTGGACAGTGTAATGTATTTCTGTAATATGTTGTCTCCGTGTCCTCAGTGTGTCCAATGGGCAGCAGTAGCAGCAGCAGGCTGTTTGGTACCCTGGCCCAGACCCTGAACAGTGCTCCCCTGGCCCAGAAGGACTACTGCCCAGACCCAGAGCACCAGGACTCAGACCAGGACCCGGAGGGCCTAGAGCAGACCGACCCAGACCAGCTGCTCCGGGAGTGCGAGGAGGCCCTCCAGAACCGGCCGGCCCGGCCACACAGGGACCTGGTCTACCCTGCAGACCCAAAACACCAGCACCAATACAGGAACCATGAGCAGCAGCACACACCGTCCATACGGGTCATGACGTGGAACATCCTAGCTCAAGGTGCATAGTCCTCTGATAGATGATAGAGTACTATAGATTACAGAAGACCACCAGAGCAGCACATGTACTGTATGAACACCTTCCTAATATTGAGTTGTACCCCATTTTGCCCTCAGAACAGCCCCAATTCATCGGGGCATGGACTCTACAAGGTGTCGAAAGCGTTCCACAGGGATGCTGGCCCATGCTGACAAGTTGGCTGGGTGTCCTTTGGGTAGTGGACCATTATTGATACACACGGGAAACTGTTGAGCGTGAAAAACCCAGCAGCGTTAAAGTTCTTGATACAAACCGGTGCGCCTGGCACCTACCATACCCCGTTCAAAGGCACTTAAATCACCCTCTGAATGGCACACATACACAGTCCATGTCTCAAGGCTTAAAAATCCTTCTTTAACCTGTCTCTTCCCCTTCATCTGCACTGATTTGAAGTGGATTTAACAAGTGGCATCAATAAGGGATCATAGCTTTCACCTGGATTCACCTGGTCAGTCTGTCTTGGAAAGAGCAGGTGTTCTTAATGTTTTGTACACTCTGAATATCCAAGACACTGTTGCTCTCAAGACTTCAGACCATGATAATGCTCAGTGCTCACAATGTCTTTCGATCAGGAATGGGGAGAAGTGTACAACGGTACAAAGTAATGTCTACTGCTAATGTCTGGTAACTGTCCTCTCTCCTCTCCTCTCAGCTCTAGGGGAGGGTAAGGATGGCTTTGTGCGATGTCCTCTGGAAGCTCTGAACTGGGCTGAGAGGAAGTACCTGATCCTGGAAGAGATCCTCACCTACCGCCCTGACATCCTGTGTCTCCAGGAAGTGGACCACTACTACGACACCTTCAAGCCCATCCTGGCCAGCCTGGGCTACCACAGCACCTTCATGCCCAAGCCCTGGTCCCCCTGCCTGGACGTGGCCAGCAACAACGGCCCTGACGGCTGTGCTCTCTTCTACCGCCACGCCCGCTTCAGCCTTCTCCACACCTCCCACCTGCGCCTCTCTGCCATGATGCTGCCTACCAACCAGGTGGCCATCGTGCAGACGCTGCGTTGCCGGGCGACGGGCCAGAGGCTGTGCGTGGCCGTGACCCACCTGAAGGCGAGGAGCGGCTGGGAGAGGCTGAGGGGTGCCCAGGGGGCTGACCTACTGCAGAGCCTGAAGGCTATAACCTCACGGGCAGCTGGGTCAGACCCAGTCAGTAGGGGAGCTGGGGGAGGGAATGGGACAGAGGGGGTGCCTCTGATAGTGTGTGGGGACTTTAACGCTGAGCCCTCGGAGGACGTGTACAGGCGTTTTATCTCCTCCCCCCTGGGTCTGGACTCAGCCTATAAGCTGCTGAGTGCAGACGGGCAGACAGAGCCGGCCTACACTACCTGGAAGATCCGTCCCTCAGGGGAGAGCTGCAGTACCCTGGACTACATCTGGTACTCTCATGGTGCTTTCACTGTGGACACCCTGCTGGACATACCCACTGAGGAACAGATAGGACCTGACCGCCTGCCCTCATACCACTACCCCTCCGACCACCTCTCACTGCTCTGTGATGTCAGCTTCAGGGAGCCCAGGGATCAACCTCATAGGCTGATGTAGGCTGCCTATCACAGAGGCATCGGCCAATAGGGCTCCAGTTCAGGACAATGCAGGAAGAATCGACTTGATCAAACAATGTGTGGGAGTGTAATACTGGAGAACTGAATGCTTATTTTACTTGACCTGGTGGTGAAATTTGATTCTGCAGACTTGACACCAGAGAGTAGATATTTCTTTTTTATAAAAACCAGCACTTGATGAAATTTACTTTTTTCCCCTTGAGGTAGTTTTCTGTCAAGTGAGATGTTATCCCTCATGATCGTTTTTCTTCATGTGAGGTGTTTAACTGGTTTTAAAGGAACTGGAGAATAGGATCATATCAATACTGTAACTGCTATAATTTTCAGTGCTGTGGCAGCAAGATTGCCAATGAGCATGTCAAAATAAAATACTTAGACATTCTGACATCTTGTTTTTGATTTTTCTTCATGTCAACTTTACTTATTTATTTTAGTGTTTTAATACTTTGTGTAGTTCTGTGTGTTCATATTTAGTGATTGGGGAAAAAATTGATAGTTACATATCACAAATAATTTTTGGACGATATTCCCACGGGGGGCCAGTATGCACTCACTAACTAAGTCGCTCTGGATAAGAGCGTCTGCTAAATGACTAAAATGTAAAATTATAGCGATACTTTGACTACAAGTATCAATTTGTAATAACAAAACTTTTTTGGGGGAATTGATTATTAAGCAAGTTAAGTTTTTGTATGGGGGCAATGTGTTGAATTTAGTCAAGATAAAAATAAATTGCTTATTTGATCTAATAGAAATTTCGCAATGCTTAGGTTGTTACAACTGTACTGATAAGTGTGATGCACGTGACATCCTGGCAACACTTTATATCTGAGATGAACATGTAATTTGAGACAGTCTATGCATATTCAGGAGGGTAGCGTAGCATCTCACTCTCCATTGATAACAGGCAGTTGACGTCAACAACCCTCATCAAATATTCAAATAACGAGATGTATCCACCAATCCAAAGAGAGGAATAGGCAGGTGTTTGACAGCCCGCCGTTCCGCTCTTTGGACAACGAATCCCATTGTTCGGGAGGAGACATAAGAATCTCGTCATTATATCCAGTATCTCTGCTATGGCTGACCCTGTAAAACAACACATTTCACTGCACCTATCTGGTGTATGTGACAGAATATAAAAAATAATAATAATTGGTGAACCAACATGTTTTCAGCAATTATTTCCATGACTGATTTAAAATTAGTTTTGTCATGGCTCTCATCTCAGACATATAGTGAGCAATATGTTTGCAACATCAAATCGCAATACATATAGAATCGTGATAATCTCAATACATATCGTATCGGCACCTAAGGATCGTGATGGTATCGTGAGGTCCCTGGTAATTCTCAGCCCTATTAATATTATGACACAATGTCCTTGATGTCAAATTCGGCCAGTGTGTTGACTAAATGCTTGAGCACAAACCACAAACATTCAGAAGAATCTCTCACTCATCCCCGCGTCTCTGGCTGGTGCATAGGGCAGCAACAAATGTTCTCCACGTCTGGCGGTCTTTGGCCATCTTCTCCACTGTGCCCCAGCTCTGCTGATGATGTTGTAGCCATAGACAATATAACTGGTTGGGGCTCAGTCTCCATTGTTCAGTGTCATGTCTTCGGGCCTCCCCCTCAAATCCCCCCCTGACTCCAATGCTTCCCACAGTTGTATCAAATTGGCTGGATGTCCTTTGGGTGGTGGACCATTCTTGATACACACAGGAAACTGTTGAGTGTGAAAAATCCAGCAGCGTTGCAGTTCTTGACACAAACTGGTGCGCCTGGCATCTACTACCAAACCCTGTTCAAAGGCACTCAATCTTTTGTCTTGCCCATTCACCCTCTGAACGGCACACATACACAATCCATGTCTCAATTGTCTCCAGGCTTAAAAATCATTATTTAGCCTGTCTCCTTGCCTTCATCTACACTGATTGAAGTGGATTTAACAAGTGACATCAATAAGGGATCATAGCTTTCACCTGGTCAGTGTATGTCATGGAAAGAGCAGGTGTTCTTAAAGTTTTGTACACTATTCACAGGGATATTTGTCACTGTGTGAAACTGGGTCCTTTGAGAGGGACTTGAGAGCATCCCAGCCCTCCAACCAGAACCACAGGGACTGGAGAAAGACTCCCACACCCTGCATAGGTATTCGTGTGTGTGTGTGGTACCTTTCCCTCTCTGGGTCTCTTCCTGATCCCCAGGTCAATGTTGCTGTTGGTGTCAGGCTGAGGCTGTTGTGTCTTCAGGTTCTGTCCCCCTGCAAGGAAACCAACCAAATAACTTAGTACACTTCATATAATATACAACTTAACATTTATTACAGACACGCAGGGGCAGTGGACAACACAGAGACAGATAATAAAGAAAACATTTAGTTGCATCGGAGGCTGGCCATAGGTCAGTGCATGCGTGTGATAATGACCCCTCAGCTGGTTAGCCCTTAAGTCTACCGCCCTTGAGCATGACAATGGACACAATGGGGAGTCAGAATAGGATGAGTGAGAGGGAATGTGTGGACAGGAAGTTACATTGGGCTTCTAACCCTGATCTCACCTGATCCCTTCCAATCCCATCAGGCCATGCTGTGAGAGGACATAACACTGGGCTATAACAGGTGATGGAGCCCAGCAGGTAAATGAATACCAAATAGCACAGTGTGCAGGGATTCAAGTCCTTAACATTTCTCCTCCATCTGCAATGATGGGTATAGGACTGCACAGAATGTCTCCACCAATTGGCTCATTTATCCATCTTCCTCTCCCCTGTAACTATTCCCCAGGTCGTTGCTGTAAATGAGAATGTCTTCTCCTGGTAAAATAAAACATGATCCTCGTAAATAGGCACTGATACAGTAAATGTGATGTGCCTGGATGGGTTACTACCAATGATGTGTGCATCTTTTTATCAAATACCATTTATGTGTCAAGTAGTTTCAGATCAGTGTTCTCGAGGCCAGGATAGGACATGTACAGTGCATTCAGAAAGTATTCAGACCCCTTGACTTTTTCCACATTTTGTTACGTTACAGCCTTATACTAAAATTGATTTAATTGTTTTCTCATCAATCTACACACAATACCCCATAATGACAAAGCAAAAACAGACATTTTAGACATTTTGAAAAAAATTGAAATATCACATTTACATAAGTATTCAGACCCTTTACTCAGTACTTTGTTAAAGCACTTTTGGCAGTGATTACAGCCTAGTCTTCTTGGGTATGACGCTACAAGCTTGCCACACCTATATTTGGGGAGTTTCTCACATTCTTCTCTGCAGATCCTCTCAAGCTCTGTCAGGTTGGACGGGGACCGTCGCTGCACAGCTATTTTATGGTCTCTCCAGAGATGTTCGATCGGGTTCAAGTCCAGGCTCTGGCTGGGCCACTCAAGGACATTCAGAGACTTGTCCCGAAGCCACTCCTGCGTTGTCTTGGCTGTGTGCTTAGGGTCGTTGTCCTGTTGGAATGTGAACCTTCGCCCCAGTCTGAGGTCCTGAGCGCTCTGGAGCAGGTTGTCATCAAGGATCTCTCTGTACTTTGCTCCGTTCATCTGTCCCTCAATCCTGACTAGTCTCCCAGTCCCTGGAGCTGAAAAACATCCCCACAGCATGATGCTGCCACCACCAGGCTTTACCATAGGGATGATGCCAGGTTTCCTCCAGATGTGACGCTTGGCATTCAGGCCAAAGAGTTCAATCTTGGTTTCATCACACCAGATAATCTTGTTTCTCATGGTCTGAGTCCTTTAGGTGCCTTTTGGCAAACTCCAAGAGGGCTGTCATGTGCCTTTTACTGAGGAGTTGATTCCGTCTGGCCACTCTACCATAAAAGCTGCAGAAATTGTTGTACTTCTGGAAGGTTCTCCCATCTCCACAAAGTAACTCTGGAGCTCTGTCAGAGTGACCATTGGGTTCTTGGTCACCTCCCTGACCAAGGCCCTTCTCCCCTGATTGCTCAGTTTGGCCAGGGCGGCCAGCTCTAGGAAGAGTCTTGGTGGTTCCAAACATCTTTCATTTAAGAATGATGGAGGCCACTGTTCTTGGGGACAGCCTCTTTAAGGAACACCTGGGATAGGATAAAGTAATCCTTCTACCCCCCCCCCCCAAAAAAAAAAAAAAAAAAAAAAGTGTAATTGTAAAGTGGTTATCCCACTGGCTATAGGGTGAATGCACCAATTTGTAGTCGCTCTGGTTAAGAGCGTCTGCTAAATGACGTAAATGTGCCCTTGAGCAAGGCACTTAACCCTAATTGCTCCTGTAAGTCGCTCTGGATAAGAGCGTCTGCTAAATGATTAAAATGTAAATGTAAATTCCTTCGACCTCATGGCTTTGTTTTTGCTCTCTGACATGCACTGTCAACTGTGGGACCTTAAATAGACAGGTGTGTGTCTTTCCAAATCATGTCCAATCAATTGAATTTACCACAGGTGGACTCCAATCAAGTTGTAGAAACATTGTTTTTTATTTATTTGCAAACATTCTTAAAAACCTGTTTTCGCTTATGGGGCATTGCGTTTAGATTGATGAGGAAAGTGTTTTATTTAATCAATTTTAGAATAAGGCTGTAACGTAAAATGTGGAAAAAGGGAAGGGGTCTGAATACTTTTCAAATGCACTGTATATAGAATACAAGGCCATTGACAGTAAAAGGTATCCAACGGAGTTTGAAGGACAAGACAGACCAACACAAACGTCAGCTGTGGGTTGTTGTTCTTTTGCGACTGACCACAGAACACCCGGCTGTTAATTTCCCAACGACTTTACTTGGGAAAAAGTCACCGTTCATCGACACCCATCAGGTGATCTACTGCGCACGGTTTTGGTTTGTCTAGTCCTTTAGATTTTCAACTCCGTCTGAAAGAGATTCAGTGCCAAAAAGTATTGACTGAGACAAGTTTCAATTCATATTTGTTTTTTTATAATACATACTTCAGTAAAATCTACGTCAATACACTTTGAGAGTACATGAAAATAGCATATGCTTCAAATGTGGAATATACCATCTGGATCTGTCTTTTCTTGACACAAAGATCCTTTCGCTCCCTTTTTTTAACAGTAAAAAATAATAATAACACAAAAGAACATTGAGTGTGGAGGGACGGTGTTGTGGAGGACTAGACTACTTTCCATACACAGAAGGGAACCAACCAAGTCAGAGGAATACCCAAAGATTTCAACTATGAGACAAAAGAACTACACTTGCATTGAACTTAGAATACATTGTACGTAACCTGCTGCAGAGTATCAAAAAGTTTTTACACAAATCTTTCAGGCTTCCTTTATATTATGTTTTTGATTAAAATAAGCATTTTCAATGTACAATCTAAGGCTTGCCCATCGTTGGAGATCCAAAGAACTTCTAAAGCACGTACATGCCCCTACGTATTTATTCGGACAGTGAAGCTAAAAACTTTTTATTTGGCTCTATACTCCAGCATAAAAAATGTGAGCTCAAATGTTTCATATGAGGGGACCGTACAGAATGTCACCTTTTATTTGAGGGTATTTTCATACATATGTTTTACCGTTAAGAAATGAAAGCACTAGTCCATTTGAAAGTGTCATAAGTATTTCATATACCTAAGTGAATTAGTCTAAAGTAATCAAAAGTTTAGTATTTAGTCCCATATTCCTAACAAGCAATGACTACATGAAGCTTGTGACTCTACAAACTTGTTGTATGCATTTGCAGTTTGTTTTGGTTGTGTTTCGGATCATGCTGTGCCCAATAGAAATGAATGGTAAATAATGTATTGTGTCATTTTGGAGTCACAAAAAATATATATACACTACCGGTCGAAAGTTTTAGAACACCTACTCATTCAAGGGTTTTTCTTTATTTTTACTATTTTCTACATTGTAGAATAATCAAAACTATGAAATAACACATATGGAATCATGTAGTAACCAAAAAAAAAAGTGTAAAACAAATCTAAATATATTTTATATTTGAGATTCTTCAAATAGCCACCCTTTGCCTTGACGACAGCTTTGCACACTCTTGGCATTCTCTCAACCAGCTTCATGGAATGCATTTCAATTAACAGGTGTGCCTTATTAAAAGTTAATTTGTGGAATTTCTTTCCTTCTTAATGCATTTGAGCCAATCAGTTGTGTTGTGACAAGGTAGGGGGGTATACAGAAGATAGCCCTATTTGGTAAAAGACCAAGTCCATATTATGGCAAGAACAGCTCAAATAAGCAAAGAGAAACGACAGTCCATCATTACTTTAAGACATGAAGGTCCGTCAATACGGAACATTTCAAGAACTGAAAGTTTCTTCAAGTGCAGTCGCAAAAACCATCAAGCACTATGATGAAACTGGCTCTCATGAGGACCGCCACAGGAATGGAAGACCCAGAGTTACCTCTGCTGCAGAGGATAAGTTCATTAGAGTTACCAGCCTCAGAAATGGCATCCTAAATAAATGCTTCACGGAGTTCAAGTAACAGACACATCTCAACATCAACTGTTCAGAGGAGACTGTGTGAATCAGGCCTTCATGGTCGAATTGCTGCAAATAAACTACTAAAGGACACCAATAAGAAGAAGAGACTTGCTTGGGCCAAGAAATACGAGCAATGGACATAAGACCGGTGGAAAGTTGTCCTTTGGTCTGGAGTCCAAATGTGAGATTTTTGGTTCCAACCGCCTTGTCTTTGTGAGACGCGGTGTGGGTGAACGGATGATCTCTGCACGTGTATTTCCCACCGTAAAGCATGGAGGTGTTATGGTTTGGGGGTGCTACCACAGCCTTCTGCAGTGATACGCCATCCCATCTGGTTTGGGCTTAGTGGGACTATCATTTCTTTTTCAACAGGATAATGACTCAACACACCTCCAGGCTGTGTAAGGGCTATTTTACCAAGAAGGAGAGTGATGGAGTGCTGCATCAGATGACCTGTCCTCCACAATCCCCCGACCTCAACCAAATTGAGATGGTTTGAGATGAATCGGACCGCAGAGTGAAGGAAAAGCAGCCAACAAGTGCTCAGCATATGTGTGGGAACTCCTTCAAGACTTTTGGAAAAGCATTCCAGGTGAAGCTGGTTGAGAGAATGCCAAGAGTGTGCAAAGCTGTCATCAAGGCAAAGGGTGGCTATTTGAAGAATCTCGAATGGTAAATATATTTAGGTTTAACACTTTTTTGGTTACTACATGATTCCATGTGTGTTATTTCATAGCTTTGATGTCTTCACTATTATTCTACAATGTAGAAAATAGTAAAAATAAAGAAAAACCCTTGAATGAGTAGGTGTTCTAAAACCTTTGACCGGTAGTGTGTGTGTGTGTGTGTGTGTATATATATATATATATATACACACAATCTTTTTCTTAACACTTCTACATTAAAATGTGGATGCTACCATAGTTATGGATAATAATGAATGAACCGTGAATAATGACGAGTTAGAAAGTTAGAGGCACAAAGATCATACCCCCAAGACAGGCTAACCTCTCACCACCATTTCTTTTGGGGTATGATATTTATGCCTCGAACTCTCACTCATTATTCATGATTATCCGTAATCATGGTAGCATCCACATTAATGTAGAAGTGTTTAGAAACATTCTGTAATATTTACAATAAAATGACACAATACATTATTTACTATTCATTTCTATTGGGCATAAAATAATCTGAAACACAACCAAAGCAAACTGCAAATGCAGAGTCACAAGCTTGATGTAGTCATTGCATGCTAGGAATATGGAACCAAATACTACATTTTTTACTACTTTAATACGCATAGAAGTGAATTTGTCCGAATACTTGACACCTTCAAATGGGGGGACTAGATACATAAAGTGCTTTCATTTCTAAACTGTAAAGAAGATATGCATGAAAATACCCTCAAATAAAAAAGGTGACATTCTGTACTGTCACCTCATATGAAATAATTAATCAAATCCAAAATGCTGGAGTATAGAGCCAAATTAAAAGTTTTAGCTTCACTGCCCAAATAAATACGTAGGCAAGTGTAGCCATGTATTATGTATACAAAGTCCCTTTTTCCTCTCTCGTCTCTTTTCCTGGTTTTCTGATGTGGAGGGAGGGAGGGCACTGCAGCTCCAGTTTGAAGACTAGCTCCCTGGTAACTAGGAGCTCCATAGCAACTAGGAGCTCCATAGCTGAGGTCCAGTTCAGAGCTCTCCTCCTCTGTATGGTCCTACAGCTCCACTGCCCAGTGAAAGGAGGATGGGAAAGGAAGACTCCACTTCAAAAAACAGTGTCAATATGGAGTCAGTAGCTGTCGGGCCCCTTGGCCTCGAGTTCTCAAGATTTAGGGGCCACTGGGTTCTGTGCCGACTCCGAGGTAGAGGGGTCTTCCGGGCTAGACTGGGGGGGCTTCGTGCTTACTGAAGGGGGGGACGGGGTGGACTCTGGGAGGGCTTTGTGGGGTGAGATGGCCTCCTCTTTTTCAGGGGGTGTAGAGGGGGTAGGTACAGGGGTTGTGATGGTGGTGGAGGGAGGAAGCTGTGGTTTACCTACAGGGGAGGCCACAGGTGGCTGCTGGGTCACGGTCACAGGCTTTGCCAGTATGAGTGGAGGGGCTGGTTTCTGCTCTATCTGGAGCGTGGCAGGTTTAGCCTGCACCAGCTGGGCGACTGGTTTAGCCTGCACCAGCTGGGCGACTGGTTTAGCCTGCACCAGCTGGGCGACTGGTTTAGCCTGCACCAGCTGGGCGACTGGTTTAGCCTGCACCAGCTGGGCGACTGGTTTAGCCTGCACCAGCTGGGCGACTGGTTTAGCCTGCACCAGCTGGGGGACTGGTTTAGCCTGCACCAGCTGGGGGACTGGTTTAGCCTGCACCAGCTGGGGGACTGGTTTAGCCTGCACCAGCTGGGGGACTGGTTTAGCCTGCACCAGCTGGGTGACTGGTTTAGCCTGCACCAGCTGGGTGACTGGTTTAGCCTGCACCAGCTGGGTGACTGGTTTAGCCTGCACCAGCTGGGTGACTGGTTTAGCCTGCACCAGCTGGGTGACTGGTTTAGCCTGCATGAGCTGAGCTAGCTGGCCTGAGAGCTGGGCTGAGAGGTTGCCCTGCGTTAGCTGAGCTAGCTGGGCCGCCGGGATGGTGATGATGGTGATCTTCTCTCCGCTCTTGGCCCCGGCGGGCATCATGGCAGGCAGGGTCTGGATCACCAGCTTGGGCCCGCCAGCGTGGGCGTTTCCCAGGGTGATGGGAGCCTGGGTGGTGAAGACTGTGGAGGAGTTGAGGGTCATCTGACCCAGCGTCGTCGTCATGACCATGGGCATGGCCAAACGCATGGTCCTGTACATCAGACAGAAACAAATATTTAATTATTTAACTGTGCATTTGTATGAAAACGTACAGAGAGAACATGCATGTGTGATTCTGTCCTATGTCTGCTGCCCCTAACACTACACAACATTTTTTTAAATGAATACCACAGATTTGTGCCTGTAAAAAGAAACGCTATAAAAAATGTCTTAAAATTATTTAATGACTTCTCCAATCATGCCTCTCACCTGTTGCCGGACGCGGTGGGGATGACGGTGACGTAGCTCTGCTGTGTCTGGGTGGAGGTGGCAGGGTCAAGGGTCAGGGTCTGGACCTGGTGGTGCTCAGAGGGTTCCCCCTCGCCCTCCTCTCCCTCCTCCTCCCCGTCATCGTCGATCACCCTGATGTTCTTGGGCATATCTTTAAACTGGTAGGCTAGCCTCTGGCCCGCCACCTTGGCTAGGATCCCCCTCTGGTAGTAATACCTGGACAGGGACAACCGTACCAGGCAGACGACTGCACTTACACCGACAATACGTGCGGAAATACACTCAGTTTACCTAACGGTCATACCCTTGCATGCATTTTAAAAGGGGAACTTAAAAGGGTTAAATGCATGCATTTTAAACAGACACAAATCAAAAATGTCATTACTCATTCCTTAGCATAAAAACAGTAAAGATATGTTGGATCAACAACAGTAAGCCTTACACACTAACTATAGTGAGGAATTGGCTATCCAATATAGTAGAATGGTATCCTGTGGTTACCTGAGTGCCCTGCCCATGGTTTCATAGTTCATGTCAGGTTTGTTCTTGTGTTTTCCCCACAGTTTGGACACGGCCTTGGAGTCGACCAGCTTGAAGATGCCCTTGTCCCGCTGCATCCACTTGATGTACCTGGGACAGGTGTTCTTGTCCTGGAGGAGATCCAACAGGAACTCCCATAGGTAGGTGGTGCTCCCTGGAGGACGGAGGGAGAGAGAAGACCAACGTAATTCATTCAGAGGATCGCTCACACACAGGCTAATTACTGAAGGGATATGGTCCCATCTTGAGTTGCTCTACGTAGAGAAGAATCCCTTCATGGGCTTGACAAACCCTAGCCCTCGCTGTGTTTGTGGTACCTTTTCCCTCTCTGGGTCTCTGCCTGATCCCCAGGTCAATGTTACCGTTGGTGTCAGGCTGAGGCTGTTGTGTCTTCGGCTTCCGTCCCCCTGCAAGGAAACCAACTTAGTACACTTCATATAATATACAACTTAACTTGTAATACTGGGTTGGACACAGTGACCAACACAGAGACAGATGGTAAGAAAGCATTTGGTTGTGTATGAGGCAGACCTTTCTTCTTCTTGGCAGAGGGAGGCTCGTAGTCGGGGGGTATAGGGAAGCTGTCCTCCTCTATGGGCTCACACTCTGTAGACACCTCCACCACAGTCTCCATCATCACGTCCTCCACTGAGACACACACAGTCAATAGTTCATTATTACAGCCACAGAGCAGTGTGAAGATTCAACTCACAGAGTGCCAAATGGTAACAAAACAAACGTTGTGGTAGAACAAACTTTGCCACATTTTACTCTCATATTTTTCAGCCGGCATCATGGCCCGCCCACTTATAATGCCTAGCCCCCAGCAAGGCCAGTGGGGGGAGGGGTTGAGTTGTTACCTGTGTTGCGGTCTCCATGGAAACTGCTGGGGGAGTCCATGTGAAGAAGGGCCTCAGCCGCCTCGAAGGTCTTATCAAAGCACACCATGCCCCCGTGTGACAACACCTCTACTACGACAACACAAGAGACGGGGGGGGGAGAGATAGGTTAAAAGGAGAAGTGAAAATACATTTGACATTTAAATTTAATGTAATGTTCGTTCAACTACTTTGTTTCAATGATTTTTCAACCATATCTTCCAATGTCTGTGGCCTTATAGCAGCAGATACCACAGACGTTCACCCTAGGAAGCAGTTAGCTGGGCAAGATAGATGTTTCGTTTCATGAAATAATGAGGGGTTAGGCTAAGTGAACCTTTACTTTTGGGACACCGATAGTAAACCATGTAGCCTTTATCTTTGTAGCATTGGAGAGAAGGAGTGATGTAGCCTGTACCAGCTATCACCCTAAATCTTCAATTTCCCCTCCTCTCTTTATCTCACTCATTCATGACCCTCCCCATTCCACATTTGGTTGTGCATAGCAACAACTGCCTATAGAAGAAGAGCTCTTTAGGATGGTCATTGGTCAACATCCAATAAAACTGTCCCCTCCCTCAAACCTCAATGACTTCTGTCACTCTTCCAATGGGCTCAGTTCATACTCCACTAGATGTCCTTCTTGAGATGGTCCTAGAAGAAAATAATACTCCTGATATGTTGGAAAGTCTAAAAACCAATTCATGCTTGTTCCGGAAATGCGATCCAGAGGCTCTGTACGTAGGGTATGACGCAATTGCAGAGCCTCCGCATCGCTGTGCACCTCCCAAATGTTTTACCAATGCGGAGGGCCCCATATAGCTCCGCATTGACATGATTGGTTGACGATAGGTGGGGGCCAGTACAGGGGCTTGAGCCTTTTACACCCACACTCTTCTAAAGCAATCACTCAATCAACATTACTATCCAAACCCTCTAACTGCAAAAAACAATATCACCTTCCAACCCTGCACCCCCCTCCCTCTCTGCTCACAGCCCTCTCACCTGTCTCCACCACCTCTGTGACCACCTCCTGCTCGTCTCCCACGTCCTGCATCAGGTAGGTCCCGTCGTCATAGACCAGCACCTGGGCAGCGTAGCACTGCTCCACCTGGGCACTGGGCACCTCTTCCACCACCACAGCAGGATACTCCTCCCCATCCTCCCCTATTACAGTCTCCACCATCTCCTGCACCACCTCCCCCTCCTCATCAGGGTTCTCCTCACTCTGGAGACAGGACAAAGACACACATTGAGGGAAGTGCAAGGTGAAACGTCCATCATGTGTTTTGTGTATTTGAACATTTGTTGAATCATTTATAACGGCAGGACAGAGGTGCAATGGTCACCAGAAAAACATGTTATTCATTGGTATGAAAAAAAATATATGCACTCACTAACTGTAAGTCGCCCTGGATAAGAGCGTCTGCTAAATGACTAAAATGAAAATGTAAAAATCTTCACTTCACAATATTGTTCATGTCAATAAGATACTTACAGTGGGGAAAAAAAGTATTTAGTCAGCCACCAATTGTGCAAGTTCTCCCACTTAAAAAGATGAGGCCTGTAATTTTCATCATAGGTACACGTCAACTATGACAGACAAATTGAGAGAGAAAAAATCCAGATAATCACATTGTAGGATTTGTTATGAATTTATTTGCAAATTATGGTGGAAAATAAGTATTTGGTCACCTACAAACAAGCAAGATTTCTGTCTCTCACAGACCTGTAACTTCTTCTTTAAGAGGCTCCTCTGTCCTCCACTCGTTACCTGTATTAATGGCACCTGTTTGAACTTGTTATCAGTATAAAAGACACCTGTCCACAACCTCAAACAGTCACACTCCAAACTCCACTATGGCCAAGACCAAAGAGCTGTCAAAGGACACCAGAAACAAAATTGTAGACCTGCACCAGGCTGGGAAGACTGAATCTGCAATAGGTAAGCAGCTTGGTTTGAAGAAATCAACTGTGGGAGCAATTATTAGGAAATGGAAGACATACAAGACCACTGATAATCTCCCTCGATCTGGGGCTCCACGCAAGATCTCACCCCGTGGGGTCAAAATGATCACAAGAACGGTGAGCAGAAATCACAGAACCACACGGGGGGACCTAGTGAATGACCTGCAGAGAGCTGGGACCAAAATAACAAAGCCTACCATCAGTAACACACTACGCCGCCAGGGATTCAAATCCTGCAGTGCCAGACGTGTCCCCCTGCTTAAGCCAGTACATGTCCAGGCCCGTCTGAAGTTTGCTAGAGTGCATTTGGATGATCCAGAAGAGGATTGGGAGAATGTCATATGGTCAGATGAAACCAAAATATAACTTTTTGGTAAAAACTCAACTCGTCGTGTTTGGAGGACAAAGAATGCTGAGTTGCATCCAAAGAACACCATACCTACTGTGAAGCATGGGGGTGGAAACATCATGCTTTGGGGCTGTTTTTCTACAAATGGACCAGGACGACTGATCCGTGTAAAGGAAAGAATGAATGGGGCCATGTATCGTGAGATTTGAGTGAAAACCTCCTTCCATCAGCAAGGGCATTGAAGATGAAACGTGGCTGGGTCTTTCAGCATGACAATGATCCCAAACACACCGCCCGGGCAACGAAGAAGTGGCTTCGTAAGAAGCATTTCAAGGTCCTGGAGTGGCCTAGCCAGTCTCCAGATCTCAACCCCATAGAAAATCTTTGGAGGGAGTTGAAAGTCTGTGTTGCCCAGCGACAGCCCCAAAACATCACTGCTCTAGAGGAGATCTGCATGGAGGAATGGGCCAAAATACCAGCAACAGTGTGTGAAAACCTTGTGAATACTTACAGAAAACGTTTGACCTGTGTCATTGCCAACAAAGGGTATATAACAAAGTATTGAGAAACTTTTGTTATTGACCAAATACTTATTTTCCACCATAATTTGCAAATAAATTCATTAAAAATCCTACAATGTGATTTTCTGGATTTTTTTCTCTCATTTTGTCTGTCATAGTTGACGTGTACCTATGATGAAAATTACAGGCCTCTCATCTTTTTAAGTGGGAGAACTTGCACAATTGGTGGCTGACTAAATACTTTTTTTCCCCACTGTATATCAGCCCTGACCCGGGTGCTTTAAGCTTGGAATGGGCTTGTGTGTGGTGCTGGTATTGCAAGTAAAATACCTTTTAAAATGTTGCATAGGGAAGGTTAGGACCTGTTGTCTCTTACCTGCTCAGTCTCTTCCATGACAGTGACATACTCCACCATATTCCCTCCACCGTCTGCCACAACAACAGAGGTCATCACTCATTCCTATGGAAATAAAAGAGGGAATCAGAGCCAGTCTCTTCCCCAGCCACAGTCCATCACACAGACTAGGAACAGCTCTGTATGGGGCCCTGGTTCCTGAAGTATGCACTAGCGTCCTCATCACAGCTAACGGAGAAACGAAACTAGCAACAAGAACACAAACGTCAATTTAGCTAAAATTGACCATGTTCAGCAATAGTACTGAGCGCAAACGCTACACACTCTGTAGAATGCGATAGTTGCTGTTTGCGCATGAAGGGACGACACGTTCCCACTTCCCGTTCACAAGCGTGACCCCAATGTTTACATCATTTGTGCAGTTTCTGGCTTTTAGTTACATTAGCTAGCTAGCTAGTAACGTTAGGTTCTGTATTTTAGCTTTAATGTACATTGACTGGTAGATAGGTGTGTTCCAAGTTGTGTTATAAAGAGAGATTAAACATGTACCTAACTAACAAGACATGTTTAATAATGTGGTTCCGTGTAGCTCAGTTGGTAGAGCATGGCGTTTGCAACGCCAGGGTTGTGGGTTCGTTTCCCACGGGGGGCCAGTATGAAAAAATTATGCACTCTGGATAAGAGCGTCTGCTAAATGACTAAAATGTAAAATGTAAATGTATGTGCTAGTTCGCTTTTTAGCGGCTAACATTGCTAGATCACTTGTTAATTTACATAGTTAGCAGTGGCCGCTAGCTAAGGTTGGCTGTCATATGGCCATCCTTGCCCGTTGAACACCACAGATCCAATCATGTTATTACCTAAAATCTCGCAAAATAACATTCCTTACCTCTTATGTTGCTTTTCCTGCGGTGGATAGCTTCAAGATAGGCCTAGCTCTGTAAGCTAACTGCTAGCTAGCTGGCTAGCCAAGTTGACCAGGCCGACGCGCTACTTAATTTGAATATTCTCAAGTGTTTGCAAGATAGCTGTAGCAAGCACAATATTTCAGCAAAAATAGCTAGCTATGTGCTCTTAGGTTGATTTTCACCTACAAACGATACTGAAACGCTGTATATTGCATTTGTTTAAGTTAGTCCTATTTTACAGGATGTTTAGATCTCACTGCTTTCCTGCGCGCCGTCTCTTCGCTGAGGGAAGTCGGGTCAACGTTCTTCTTCTTCTTTGATGAGGTTTAAGGGCGGTTGGCATCCAATTTGTTGCAGTACCGCCACCTACTAGACTGTAGTACAACTCTCTTATATTTTGCTTGAAAAATACAATAAAATATATTGTATTTTACCCTACCATCTGACACTACACTCACAAATTCTAAAATATTATTCATAATTAACACCACCCTAATATTAATTCCTACCTCATGCCGTCAACCTAAAATGATGGGACATCACCACTTAACACTCCCTGTAACTCTTCTGATGTCAAGTCTCGCACACCCATATACCTCTCTGCAGCTGCCACCACAACCTCAATTTTCTTCGACTTACGTTCCATCCCTGCAGTACAATGAATAACCATTGCTATAAATGCTAAAAATCCAATCTTACTGAAACATATATCACTTGTTGGCCTATCCCTCTGTACTGGTACATATCTACTACTCTCACCACTCCCCCCCCCCCCCTTCACTACTCTTACCCTGGAAACCTCAACCTGCCTCTCTCGCATGGGATCGGGTCAAACTTCTGCAGCCCGCTAGCAAATGACACATTGGCTACGATGACGTCAGAGCGTCGCCCATGATCCCCTGGCTATGGCTCCATCCAACAGTGGCCCTGACGTTACAAAACGTCATTTATCAATAACTAAGTTCTTTCTGACACACTTCTGTAAATATAAATGGCTGCATGAATACATCCTTTGTGATTGCTGGATGACTGCCTGAGTATTTCACCATTTTAACTATAAATGTGGTGTGGGGGCTGTGCTTTGGCAAAGTGGGTGGGGTTATATCCTGCCTGGTTGGCCCTGTCCAGGGGTATCGTCGGACGGGGCCACAATGTCTCCCGACCCCCCCAGCCTCCAGTATCTATGCTGCAATAGTCTATGTGCCAGGGGACTAGGGTCAGTATGTTATATCTGGTGTTATTCTCCTGTCTTACCATACATAAAAATGTATGCACACATGACTGTAAGCCGCTTTGGATAAAAGCGTCTGCGAAATGGCATATTTCTATTTTTTATCCAGTGTCCTGTGTGAATTTAAGTATGCTCCCTCTAATTCTCTCTCTCTCCCTCCCATCCCGGAGGACCATGCCTCAAGACTACCTGGCCTGATGACTCCTTGCTGTCCCCAGTCCACCTGGTCATGCTGCTGCTCCAGTTTCCACTCTTCTGCCTGCGGCTATGGAACCCTGACCTGTTCACCGGACGTGCTACATTGTCGCAGACCTGCTGTTTTCAACTCTCTCTCGCTCTCTACCTCATCTGCTATTTCAACTTCTAAATGCCCGGCTATGAAAAGCCAAGTGACATTTACTCCTGATGTACTGAGGTGTTGCAACCTCTACAACCACTGTGATTATTATTTGACCCTGCTGGTCATCTATGAACGTTTGAACATCTTGGAGAAAAATCTGGCCTTAATGGCCATGTACTGTTATAATCTCCACCCAGCACAGCCAGAAGGGGACTGGCCACCCCTCAGAGCCTGGTTCCTCTCTAGGTTTCTGCCTTTCTAGGGAGTTTTTCCTATCCCCCGTGCCTCTACATCTGCATTGCTTGCTGTTTGGGGTTTTAGGCTGGGTTTCTGTATAGCACTTTGTGACACCTGCTGATGTAAAAAGGGCTTTATAAATAAAATTTGATTGATTTAAATGTTATATATATGATGAGCTTCCGCATCAGTATGAATATTGTGTAGTCCAATGGTTGCAAGTTTATATTCTCGTCCACCAATGAGGTAGCAGTTGACCTGGGGACGAGGTTATTAAGTTTACTATGACAACGATAGTAGATGCTCATATATTGGACATCATTTGTCATGGTGTATTTTCAATAGCAGAGAGGTTTTAAAGTTGAAACAAATAATAAAGCAATAGACAACACTGAAATATTCATTTAGTTCAGAAAAACAGCAATGTTTAAAATAATCACAGTTTGTAGCCCATGCTAGGCCAGTGCGCAGCGTGAAGCCATCCACTCACAGGACAGAACAAGCCATTATATATAGCCCATTAAAAACCTGCCTGCAAACATTAGGACAGACACACTGAATTATCCCACTCCTTAAATTAGGAATTATCCTACATTCACTTCTTATCAATGGTCTCGGTACCTTTTCAAATATGCCTAGCATAGCAAAAAATAAAATATAATACGTGAGGAAAGTGAGAAGAAAACTAGGCCTACAACAAATAAGTAGAGTATGCCTACAGTGAGAGCCTTGTATGACCTGCAGATGATTTTAACTGGTTCTGACAAAGTTATGAACATGTATTTATGAATCTAAACTAACTAGTAAGTCATCTACTTTGAAAAGCAGAAAAAAAACTGAGCCATATCAAGCACTGAATTAACATACCACCACACAAGCCTGACTGCAGTGTAAAAAAGACATCACCGAGTGTAAAAACCTGACTGACTCGTCGTCATGCTCGTTTCCCAATATGAATCCCATGTCTGGCTTGCAACTGAGGTTTATTCAACTGTAACACTGCATTAGTAAAAGGTCTGTGGATCACAAGCTGGAGGAAAAGAGGAGGAATACTGAGGTGGTAAATTATCCTAATGGATCTGGTCTCCCAAGAACAAGCCAGTGATTTACAAAAGCCATCTGATCGCATTCCCTTTGAGAGTTAACTACTTGTGATGTTCACATTGGAATCAGCCCAAAGAGGAAAAACATGAGGCTAGTTAAAGAATGCTGGTCACATTCCTGCCAGGCCATGACGCAATTGCTGGCTGAGCATCAGATGTGTAATATTGCGTTGGATGGTGAGAATCAGAAAACACCATTGGAGTGAATCTACTGTGAGGTTCCTTAGTTGAAGTAAACGATGACATACTATGCTGTGAGAGTATCCTTAGCCTTCACAGCTGTACCCATGCTGAAAACTAAGAAAATAGAACTCCCATTGAAAGAAATACAGTCTCCTTGTAAAGGTTGTGCAGATTAACCAGTAGTAAACTCCCAGGTGTTTTGTGACTGCGCGCATCTAAAGGTAACGTATTGTACTATATGACTGACTTTCTGCAGTGTCACAGGTTCAGTTGTGAAGCCTATATAGAGGGACCATTTCTAAACGACTCCGATGTGATACAATAGGAAGATGTACCTCTTCTTGGAACAGGTGGAGTACGTCTAGAAGAATATACCAGATGTTTGTTTCCATAAAGCAGGCATTAACTGAATATATACACAGACAATTCCCTGAACCAAGACGGGGAGACAACAAGTTTTATACTACAGATAAATATCAAGGGTCGACTGTCAGGGGTTAGGGGTCAAAGTGTGTGGGAGGGTTAAAGGGTGGGGGAAGACACATCCCTTTTCTTCCTCAGGGTAGAGATGTTTCATCCAGGGGCTCCAAGTGCTTACTGTGATGAATAGAATGAGAAGAAAACAGAAGTTACATAAAAACACAAGGTATCAAGACTGGTGCATGACAGACCAGAGACAGAACAATTAATATAAATAAGTAGGCATCTTTTCACCAGGGGAAAACACTACACAGGTTTAGGTTAGATTACAATACACTATAGTGTATTGGAATAGTGTATTGTAATCTAACCTAAACCTGTGTAGTGTTTTCCCCTGGTGAAAAGATGCCTACTTAGAGAAGTGACTACAGAAGTTCAGTACCTGTCAGTTGGTTCTACTGCATCTGCATCCTAAGCAGCTGTCGCTTGCCCTGAAGACCGACGTGGTAAGATCGCATTAGATCACAATACTATGACTAGCACTGAAATGGCAGTAGCCTGTTAATCTAGGTTTCAAAATGTGAAATACAGATATAGGATCTTAAATTTGATCACCCAGTTGTTGCAAACTTGTATTTTATTAAATGGTTTAAAAAGGCTTCTGAAGTTTGTAA